TCTCCTCTCTCTCTTCTATCTCTCTCTCTCTCTATCTTCCTTCTATTCTAGTCTATCTCATCTCTCTCGCTCTCTCTCTCTCCTCTCTCGCTCTCTCTCTATATACATATATATACTATATACTACTCTATATACTCCATATACTCACTTATACATATATTCGCCTTCTAAACTCACCACCATTATAAACCTCAGTTAGTGGATTCGAGCTCGAAACGACCTCAGTAGCCGATACGTTCATGATACCCCCAAAATTATGGAATGCCGTGGGTTAAATGGTTGGTCAATTTGGCCGGTTTGGTTTTGTGTTGCTTGGTTGGCAGATTAGGGCTGCGCCAACACAGGTACGGAAGGGACAAGTGACACAAGTCGCCCCTCCCCCTCACCAACGTTTGCGAAATCAAATTGCACGTTTTTGGCCTTGCTTCGAAGGAGACTATTCACAAAGCACTTAGTCTGTGACCACTGGCCTGTGGGAAGCTCCCGATTCAAGGCGCCGATTACTCGTCAGCTCGCTCTGTCTGTGACCACTGGCCTGTGGGAAGCTCCCGATTCAAGGCGTCGATTACTCGCCATCTCGCCCTGCTCAATGTGTTTTCTGAACCATCGCGCCTGCTGAGATCCTTGTGCGAACCATTTCAATGAAAAGGAGACATACCATACGAACTAGGACCAAGGTAGAAGGGCCGAAGGCCGCCGAAAAAATGTTGGCATGGGAGGAGGGTTCTGTCAATACCACCTTTTCCATTTTTAATTCATAAAAGCATCGTGATGGATGTCTTGCAAACCCACAGCTTTCATGGGGTGTATCTGTTAACATTGCTGCGCTATTGTATGAAGGTATGGGACATTTCATCATTACTCATAGCGATCATGCCGTTTTTTATTGCCATGCCTTCAGTTTCCGAAAGACGTTCCACAGCTATTGCACGTTCAGGACTGGGATGTTTGGTGCCACAACGTTATGCATATTCCATGCGTATTTTTGACTTTTGAGAAGAGCATCATCACCCATTCAGCCACAACATTCCAGACACGTGTATGGTCGACTGTTGTCAGCTGTGCTACATAACGTGCCCTTTCCGGCTAACCGGTGTGACGGCTGAGCCCATCGCTCCTATCCACAAACAACGACGGCATATCATGCAGCTGAGGGTGTACTACAACGACATTTTTTTCGTACATTTTTTTTTACATTTTTTCGACATTCTTATTCTCCTGACAGCAAAGTTCATCATTTTTGCGGGCGTCCTGTACTTCAGCCGGGCGGAAGTGCGCTGAGTGCCGCGCCGCCCGGATGACTGAAACCCCGTGGTTGCAGCCGGCACATTCCAGCGCGCAGCCATAATGGAGCAATCGTCCGCCAGTCATCGCGATTCGTTGATTCAGCGCGGTGAGTTGCCGCACTCTGAAAAGGCCCGATTCGAAAAGCAATCTGCCGCTGAGATGGGCTTGGAAGGATCCGTTGGCGTGAAAGGGATGTATGGAAACTGACTGCTGCGATGAAGGATGGCCTCCAAACGTACAAAGTCAATTAAATGGCGCGACAAGCTGGCACGAGGGACCGCCGGAAATTACGGCAATCAGACGAAACCATCGGCTGGAGTTCGTGCCGTGCCCCTGTAAATCAGATGCTCAAGTTTTGGTAGGTGGAGAGGTCACGTGCTCGGGATTCCATCGCTTGTTGTATACGTCATGGTTCGCTGGTGCAGGGATCGGTGATGCCAGCGATTGAATTAGCGTCAGCTCCTGCGGGGCGGACAGTAGCACTAAGGTGGGCGGAGAAGCTGTTAAACTGCCCAATTTACGTCCGTGTGACACTGGGAGGCGCAAAAGTCAAAACCGCCCATTTCAAAGAAACTGGCTATGTTTCGATTCAGGCTGACTCGCTATAAGTTGCAATAAGAGATGTAACAAAAACTGCTTTCCATGCAAAGCCACAAATTCTTATCCTGTTACTAGGATAAAATATAGATGTCATCTTTCTCATCATGCTGTTACTGTTACTTGGCCCTGATTGGGGACTTTGACAATCTAAACATGCGTAAGGATTAAGTGCGTCCCGAAACCCTGTGCAATCACGCTCTTCCTTCTAACAGTGATGACGAACGCAGCTCACAGTCTTCTAGAAAATAGTCGACGCCAGGCTTTGACGAACCCCCACTGGGAGAAACCAGTGATTCAAGATCGTCCTTGAAATATTGCTGCGTAGTATGACGTGTGTGTATGTATCACGGGCGCTTTAATCATGCGTCCTACGCCATTGCGTTTCCTGCAGTGGGAAGGAGATGCGTTCACCCTCACATTGTGCATTACGCAAGCTGACGCGGACGGTGGCCAATTATATTCCCATCAGCTCACGAAGCGCAAAAATCATTGTTTACACATGCGTCCATGCCAGCCCACCATTTAGTCATCGCTGTCTCCAAGGTTTGCGTGGCGGCTGAGGAGTTGCGCGTGGAACAGCTGAATCACGCAGCGCAGGGCCCGCCGGTCCATGTGCACACGCAGACACGCCACTTCCGTCCGATCATGGTCTTACCCCGGAGGCTGACTGAAAGGCATGAGTGGCATGACTGGCGCCGCGTGAGGGCCAGGGCCGGAGCCAACGACGCCGGTGTCTGAATACTCGAAGCCACTCAAACCAACGGCATTTGGCTGAATACACTCTGATGCATAGCTCGCCTCTCGAATCGTTTGAATTATGCTCCCGGGCCATATCTTTCCAACTGACATCGGCTGACAGGAAGTTTTATTCGCCCGGGGTTGGAGGCCGGTTATTTATGATGATAGCTGCCCGATAATTGGCGAAAGCTGCAGCGATAAATGATGCCATGATATCGTTGTATGACGTCATACAGCCACATCACTGTTCATACGTGAGGAAGAGAATGATAACTTTATACGCCCCTTCGGCTGTGTACGCACGGGCTTTCACACAGCCCACCTCGGCGCCTCTCCTCATCCGTTGTCCGTCTCCCCACCCCAGCGTGTCCCTCTCACCGGTCTCCATGCCCGGCTCCCTTCACCTCGGCGTCTCCCCTCACCCGTTGTCCGTCTCCCTGACCCCAGCGTGCCGTTCCTCCGGCAGGAGTCGACGCGCACCAGGATGTCGGGCCGACTGACAGCGGCGGGCGTCAAGGGATGCCTGAAGACGAACGTGCTGACGCTGCTGACGCTGGGCGGCGTGTTCGCCGGCGTCATCCTAGGCGTGGCGCTGCGGCCTCCCGGCTCGCAGAAGTGGTCGCAGCGCGACGCCATGTACGTCGGCTTCCTGGGCGAGCTGTTTCTGCGCATGCTGAAGGCACTCATCTTGCCGCTGATTGTGTCCAGCCTGATCTCAGCCGTCGGCAACCTGGACCTCAGCCTGTCGGGCCGGATCGGCGCGCGCGCCATCGGCTACTACATGGTGACCACGGTGATGGCCGTCATCCTGGGCATCATCCTGGTGGTGGCCATCCACCCGGGCCAGGGCAACGACAAAGGCATCCAGACGGTCGACTTCGGCCGTAACACCACCACCGCCGACACGCTGATGGATCTGGTCAGGTGGGTGACGGCGCCACGCCGCCTCCGGAGCGGGTTCGGGACTGGGTCAGGTAGTCCTGTCCCGGGGACGAAGCAGACACGGATTGCCAGCGGGAGCATGTCTCGGCCAGTGGTTCCACAACGGATAACATAATTTGGAAAGGGGCACGTCGAGGTCTTTAAAGGCGTTTCTTTCCTCCAACGCCAGCATAGTATTGCTGAATTCCGCGAAACCTGGGGAATGCAGACCTCCCCTCACCACCTCACTGTGCTGAAGCCATGATCCTTGCTTGCCATTACATGGGTGTTTGGACCTTGGGTTGCGACAGTCTTGCTGCGTGACGTCATTATCAGTGGTTTAAAATACAGCGTTATCCGATGTCGGGATAAGCTTGCGCCACTGGCTATCTTTTTCACTTGACTACCCACACAGGCGTAAAAGTCCAAGTACTGATTAATACCCCGTAATCCCGGATGTGTTGGTCGTCAGAGGAGCCCCGCAAATCTCAACACTGATCGGGGGGCTAGAGCTCGTTGCACCGTAGTCCAAATGTTTACACGTAAGTGATACTGGCAAGAAACGCTGGCGTTCGGTCGATTTCGTTCTGCCAGATCCCCGCTACACGCTCGGACAGCGGCGCTCCCCGCAATCGGACAGCGGCACTCCCCGCGATCGGACAGCGGCACTCCCCGCGATCGGACAGCGGCACTCCCCGCAATAGGACAGCGGCACCCCTCGCAATTGGACAGCGGCACTCCCCGCGATCGGACAACGGCACTCCCCGCAATAGGACAGCGGCGCCCCTCGCAATTGGACAGCGGCACTCTCCGCGATCGGACAGCGGCGCCCCTCGCAATTGGACAGCGGCACTCCCCGCGATCGGACAGCGGCACTCCCCGCGATCGGACAGCGGCACTCTCGGCGATCGGACAGCGGCACTCTCGGCGATCGGACAGCGGCACTCCCCGCGATCGGACAGCGGCACTCTCGGCGATCGGACAGCGGCACTCCCCGCGATCGGACAGCGGCACTCTCGGCGATCGGACAGCGGCGCTCCCCGCGGTCCGCGCTGCCTCGGTCCGCTGGGGCCTATCCAGTACTAAACGTTTCACAAGTCTGTAAGAACGATACGCTAAATACTCGCCCCTGGCTCGCGCATGACGAAATTACAGAGCGTGAGTGGGGTGACATGGGTGCAAGAGCGACGCAGCGCGGGGACAGAGGGGTAGTTGCCGCCCGCAGGGAGCAAGTGTTTGTTTTGACCCTTTCAAATTCCGGGAGCCCCTTTTACCCAAACTGAAGGTTTTGTAGGTCAACACTTGTCGTATCAAAATTCAGGTCAAGGGGGCATCCGCAACTGAGCCAGGGGCTGTGGATGCCTGGGATACTGAGCATGGAATAACTTTTGAACTAGGGTGGGAGTGAAAAATTCCATCGCAAAAAGACCGTGCAGGAGTGAAAAATTCAATTCACAAAAGTGAGAACTTATGAGTCAGCAAGATATTCTCCAGCAAAAAATAGTGTACGTTTCAAATCGGCATGAAAATAATATCATAAACATGACAAAACTGTTCCTGTTTTTTAACGTCTTAGGTCATTAGAGTGAAGCAGCATATATTCAAAAATAGCAATTTCATAACAGTGTGATCAGCATGAAAAACTGTGAAACATCAATGTTTTGATGCTGCATTTCGCGCTTCCCTTCCGCAGGATTTTTCAACACAAAACAAAGCAAAGTAATTGAACAGCAAAAACAACAGCAAAAAATTCAACAAGCATAAAGCATTCAAACAAAAAAGTATAGGACTCTTACATATCAACCAATCACCCAATCAAACACAATAGGCACACTTCTAAATTCTGTTAAGACGAATTCAGGAAATACATATATCATATCACTTTCTTGCAAAATGCCAATGCTTATTTTCATGAAAGTAACCTAAGCCTCACCTAAGGAAACCTCACATCATCTCGCCCTGTCTAACCTATTATATACACACAGGTTGACAATACACAAATCAAAGCCCCGCAAATCACTCTGAACAACTTATTCTCGTTGTTATGGTTAGCCTCCAGCAGGAGTAATAGGAGGTATGCCCCACAAAACAATCTGCTCTAAACGTAAGATAGCTTTTAGATGGCCACAAAACTAGTTTTGCTGCTTGCCTTTTCAGCTGCAGCAAAGGCATTCATGTATATTTTGCTATTCACACTTCATAACACAAAGGATGAGATGATTGCTTCGCAGTTTAAATGGGATGGTCCATTTGATAAAAAGTAATATCCATCTCATGTTGTAATTGCTATGCAGCTTAGGGTATTCCGGTGATAAAAAATATAGCGCATATCTGCAGTACAGTCGTTTGCCAGTCAGCAAACCATGGCAGCTATGGGCAACATCCGACTAAAGCAGGCATGAGGGACCACTTCAACACATCTGAGGCAAAACATAAAGAGCATGGAACAAAAAAGTTAAATTGCATGTTTTGCGGAATCATTATTTGTCTTATGAACAGAACTTGATAGACTAAAACAGAAAATGACTAAATCTGGTTGTAAATCATGTGTTGAAAGCAGGCAAGGTTAGGCATTGGTTGCTCCACAGGAAAGTTGTACTGACTTTTTAAGGAATGCTTCGTTCCGTTCTCCGCACAAAAAGTCAGCATCTTTCGCGTGATTTGCTGACAGACAGGGTCATCCAACACACCCACAAAATATAGATATTAATCATGCTTACCAACCTACACGATTAAAATGCGAAATAAGTTAGAGAAGGCCTGCATGATTAATTTTCCTATCAAACACTTCTGTATTAGCTGCGCCAGGTCTGTCCCAAAGCCATGTACGCTAGGACAATGTACCGTGATGAGTCAGTGCACCTAGAATGGCTTAGATTTATCATTATTGAGCCGCGCCATGAACCAAAAACGGCTAAATGAGGGTTTAACGGGGGAAAAATTATGTTAAGAATAAGTTCCGTGCTCCAAATTGTTCCCTTTATTCCCCATGAATTATTCACTCTTGGGTGTATATTAAATTGGGTGTATATTAAACATGCTTGGGCGGCTGGCGAATTAATCCCATTTATGTATGAAATAGGTGCAGGCTTGCAGTCGCAAAACATTCTGCGAAAAAAATGGTCGGCATTTTGAGCCATAGATGGTGCGTTTAAAGGCAATTAGAAAGGAAGGAAAATGCAGTTTTATGACGCTCATATCATAACAAGAAAAACAAAGGTGACTTAATAAATATAAAGACTAATAGTTTTTTAAAACATTTTGAAATCAGCTCATTTTACTCAAATTTTGTGAAAATGAGTGCTTAAACGTTGATTTTGAAAAAGGTCTTTACTTTCATATAGAAGACATTTCTTGAATTTTTCACTCCTGCATTTCGGGAGTGGTGCAACTTAGTGGTCAAGTTTCTTCGGGTAAAAGAAATACGTGGAGTGAAATTCTCTACCAGGCTTTGCTGGAGTTTGTACCAGGCTTCGCTTTGGTGGTGCAAGGTGCTTGCGTGGTGGGACAAAAAAGGGGATAGATGAAAATTTTGCATTTGGCACACGGCTAAAGATTGTTATGCATTTTGTAAACAAACCAAGCTTGATGCATGCAAGCAGCTGGAGTCGCCGGGGCTCTCGGGCTTGAAGATGCCTGGTGCCCTTGCTCTGTGCATACTTAGGCATGATTCAGATGTAGGTGAGGCAGAATTCAGCTATAGGTGTCCAGGCTCTGTGGAGCCTTGTTTATGCT